ATTTGTCTAAAGCCCTTTCTCAGTATCTTGTAGGTAATTGGTCAGGTGAATTTGATGCCCTGATGAGAGAGAGACCTACGCCAGTACATCATGCATATTCATTCTACTCGTGTAGATGCCTCCCTTGCTGCCGGGCTGACCGACTAGACACTTCAAGCAATGTCTCATCTGAAGGAGTGGGCTGGAATTGGGGGGGGGGTGTGGCTCTGTGCCTGCTCCTCATCAGTTGCCTAGCGTTCTGGTGCATGTGTAACATGAGAGCTCGACAGGCTAAGAATCAGGCCTTGATGGTGCAAGCATTTGCAGTGGTGGAGATGGGTCAATCTCCTGAAGTGTGGCTCAGCATGCTAGAGAAGTAGTCAGAGATGGGTAAGACTCCTTGGACATGTTACCAACCTAAGACAGGGACCAAACCAGAGCTGTTTGACTCCTGATGACGGGTAAGGAGCATTGTTGCAAGGGGCAACCTAAGACAGGCATTCTCTCCGCCAAAATTAAATAAAAGGGGGAATTGTGAGGAGCGGGTGCGGCGGCCAGTCCAAAATGGCGCCTGACTTCCTCATACACCCTTGGAAAGCCCCATCCACAGTTAGCACTGAGCAGACTCGCTGCTACGTAAGATCAGACCATCTAATGAATGCTGCACCAAGCCAATTGAGAATGCATTCGTGGCAGAATCTGAGTGGTGCAGGCAGGAGATTTAAGGACCATGGAGAGAGGCTCAGGGGCCGTTGGAGAAAAAGACAGGGATCCTGAATAAACGGCTTCGAGAATAGCTCCGTGCGTCGCCGTTTCATTCCGCGGGTTGGAGTGGATAGTGACACACAAGATACATGGAGAAGGGTCAAACTGAACAAGGACTGCATACCAGTTCTGAGGAGCTTTGTTAAAGAGCTTCTTTAGGTCACACTAAAATGTACTGTTCTAATCTTTACACATGCTCAGAATGTATTTCCAGGTTAAGTCACTTGCTATTATCCCAGCTGTCATTTCATGGAAACGCTGTTAAGTAAGCACTGCCACTAACTTGAAATTAGAGATACTTAGAGGTGCAGACACTAAAACAATTCTCAACTGATGTATGAGCTTAAGACTCCAAGGTGTCAAGGAGTCACAAAGTTGTTTTACTCCTTCCTGCGGTTCCAAAGCTGTATTGTGTGACTCTCACCCTTGACAAGGGTCCAGTTTACTTGGTCTTTTCCCCAATTGCAAAATCCAAGGATCTGCCTAACTTTTTTTGTGTTTCCAGTAATTCTTCACACCCCTTTTCACTGCCAAGGGTTCTGTTTCTTATAAATACTTGTCATTACAGACAGAAGGCACCACTGCAGGGGTCATGGCATTTGGGGTGACCTCCTATGGTCTTCAGGCATTTATTTTGGGAACTGAGCATGACTCATCACCACTTCAGAGGAGCTGCAGGATCCTTAACAACCATGGGAAGATGCTGGAACTTCACAGGCCACAAGTCAACAACATGAGACTCAGAGGAAACTAAAGGAAAATGGTGCCTATGTTCTCTTTGGCTACACCCTGATTGGCAGGAGAAATGGAGGGTGCAGGGCTATGATCTGATTAAGACCACAGGATAAGCACAGCATGGGATTATAAACTAGTATGAGAGAATATGAAAGGGAGAAGTTAAGACTTTGTAAGGTCTGCTTTTTGGTCCATCTTTTGAGACAGTCTTGTTATATAGCCTGGGCTGGACTGGAACTTGCTACATGTAGCCCAGGTTAGTCTCAAGTCCACTTAGATGTCAAGGTATGGTATTCCCTTACATGTATGTCAGTACAGACAAAAAGTAATCGGGAGGGGCCCTTCTTTAAGGTGAGATCCAGTTAGCACACTGGGAAAATGGCGTTTCAGAACCAATACAACTGAAAGGTAGCTGAGAGATCAGGTACTGACCACCACTGACACACAGAATGGCTTTAGTTTAGGGGCAGAGAGATTGTTTTTCGGAAGGAAGTTAATTTCTTAGCTGAAAACTGAAGGCTGAGGGGTGGCAAGATGGCTCAGTGGGTAAAGATGCTTGCTGCCAACTCTGAGGACCTGAGTTTGATTCTTAGAACCCCCATGATGGAAGGCAGTTCAGAGGGTGACTAGATGACAACCATTTTTCTGGTTGTAGGGGAGACAGCTTCTGAGAGAGAACAAACTCCATGAAATTCACTAGAGCAAGTCCCCCAGTTCTTCCGAGCCCTTGGTTCTCCCAGTAGAATAAGCAAACACTGGGAAATAAGCCTGGTAGACAACTTGCTAAGGAACATTTAAAGACAAACTCCATCTTAAAAGTGGGAGTTTTTAAGCACAACAGATTTAAATTTCAGAGATATTACTCTAGATAGGTAAGGACAGAATGAGAAAGAAATTAGATGTGGAAATCAGTTAATGAATCACAGCTGAGTCCATATACTGGCCTCAATTACCAAATTCGACTCAGTCCAGAGAACTGAATGCAACACATTCTTACCTTGGGCAATTAGGAAGCTGATAAAGGCAACTTTTATTTAAAGCATGAGGCAATTCAAAGAAAACCCTCTGGGCTGTTATTTTAAAAAAGAAAGGTCTCATAACATCGAACTGGTTTTCAGGTATATTTAGGAAGTAAGAATTAGTAAGGCTAGGTAGCTGCCAGTACACGCAGTATATAAAGTAAGGAAGGAGTCAAAAAGATGTCTGAGTTTTAAGTTAGATTTGGTGGACAGTCACCGTGGCACACACGTAGCCATAAACTCTTCCTATTCTGGTCCTAGTATGTAGGGACATTTCTTTGCAACGCAATTCAGTCATTCTTCCCATATGGCTGTGGAGTCTCTTTGTTCACCTGTGGCTTGGTCTGGGGACTGACTGTGACAAGTCTAATCTGATGGAGTTTGGATCTATCCACTCATCGGGAGGATCTGGCATCTTTCTATTTTTAGCCTTGGTCTCCCAGGAGGGGACCGCGATTTCCATGGCAAGGTCTTAAGAGGCTTTTGCTCTTTTGGAGTATTGTCTTGAGACTGCCGTGAAAAATAAGTCAGTCTAGTCTACTGGGAGATGAGAGGTTATCGGCAGAACTAAGTGGTCCCAGTTAAAGGCAGTGATTAGGAATTACAGTAGCTTTGGGTTTTTAGTTAAATTAACTGACTAGCTCAAACAGTGCATATAAGAGGGAACTGCTTCACCAACCTAAAGGATGGATAAACTGTTTAAAACTGATTGGCAAGGTAGCGGGGGCCGGTGTTTACACAGCTATTTATTGTCTATTGAAATTCAGAAGGTAGTTTGAAAACATTACTCCTTTGTAACATTTAGTAGTGGTAACAAACTCAAATGACTAAGATGGCAGGAAAGAGAAAACAACTCACTTATTTCTCCAGTACAGAAAGTTTAAAGGGATCTCCCCTAAGCGTTTTCTTAAGTACCAGATGTCTCAAAACAACATTGTACTGTAATGTAAGACGCTAAGAATTCACCCTTCGGACAACGTAAGAAAAGCGGAGACAATGTTTGCAAACTACTAGGTCTATGAAAAACAGAGTATTTAGAGACCTACGGTATAATCGTAAGTTTCCAAAATCTTGAATAAATCACTTAAAAACCCGAAGTAGTAGACTTGTAAATATGGGGAGTGGGAGGAAACTGCCACAGTAGTTTACCAAAATACAGCTGTTATATAAGTAGCTAAGGAAGTCAAAACTAGCTTTTTCCTTTCAGAGATTCAGAACCACGCCTTCTTGTTAAGGAAGAAAACTGCTTGTCTGGACCAAAACCAAGATGATGTCCCTTTAAGGTTTGGGAGTTTTGTAAGCAGCGGTAGTTTCATCCACTTGTGTCTCTTTCAAAGAAACGTCCCTCCTTTCTAAGCATTATGACTGACTTTATGTACCCACTGCGTTCTTGAAAAGTCGATTTTAGCAGCCTGAAGTGAGGAGACCATCGTCTCTAGAGCTCCGGCTGGAATTCTGCCACGTTTCATTCCGGATGGAAGCGGCCACTAAGGCAGCCCGTTCTACGGGCGGCTCCCATGCGTAGCCGCGGGTTTGCCCTTCCACATCCAAGCCCTCCGACCGGCCTGGGGCAGCCACAGAGGTGCTCCACACTCACCGCTTGAAACGCAGTCGCCAGCAGCAAGCGCAGTCCCAGAGCGGGCCGCAGCCACCCACCCTGCCCTGCCGCCATCCCTGCGATCTGCCGTCAATCTTCAGGTATCTGAGGACCCCGGTGCCGGGGACGTCCACTGCACTGCCTGATGCGAAACCCGCCGCAAAAGGCCGCTGCTACAAGCCTATTATCCCACAAAGACGAGTGTTAAGTTAGGCGACCATTGGAGCCTGAAAGTGATCGATTGTTAAACAGCCCTCGGGTTCTTTTAGAGATTCAAATCAGGCATTTTCCTAAACTCCCCACACCGGGGCTTCTTATTCACGACAGCACATCCGCTATCCACGAAGCCCCAGATCGTCCATTACTAGTACCGCCTCCTTCTCTGAATTTACCCAATCGAACAACGCCTTGCTTGAGTCCTGTGACAAGGAACCCAACCGTAAATCGAACCGAAAGGGCGATAAGCGGCCGCTCTTCGGACCAATGAACGCCACTGTACCGGAGGATGGGGGCGGAGCCTCTGGTTGCCCGGCAGCGTGCGTCAAGGCGTGCGCGTGGTGGCCGAGGGGGAGGGGAGGGGGCGGGCCGAGGGCGGCGCAGCCGCAGCCGCAGCGCTGCTGGAGGAGCGCGCGGCCGAGAGCGACCGAGGGAGGGAAGGGAGGAAGCGAGGGAAGAGGGCGTGCGGCCGCGGGGTCCCGAAGCCAGGCGACCAGCGGCAGGAGGGCGCCAGGGCCGTCGAGTGGGCTGGGGAGAAGCGTGCACCGGGCGGCCGGCGCTGGCTCCCGCGGGCGGGAGACCGGAGAGGAGGAGGGGGTCGCTGCGGCGCGGCAGTCCGCGCAGCTCCCGGGTCGGGGTCTCCTCCCGGCGCTTCGGTCGCCCTCGGGGCCCCGCTCCCCGCCCCCCGCGGTATGTCTTGATCGCGAGCGGCGGGTTTCATGGGGCTCCTCAGGATTATGATGCCGCCCAAGTTGCAGCTGCTGGCGGTGGTGGCCTTCGCGGTGGCGATGCTCTTCTTGGAGAACCAGATCCAGAAGCTGGAGGAGTCCCGGGCGAAGCTAGGTGAGGCAGCCGAGCGGTTCGCCGGGGCCGGGCTGGCGGGTGGGCATTGCCGGGTATACAAATGGGCTTCCGCAGGGGGCCTCGGAGAGTCCCGAGAGCGGGGACCCAGGCAGGTCGAGCTCCCGCCACCGTGGAGGGAAGCTGGGCTAACGAGCTGCAAGCGCGAGGTCTCTGGCCAGAGGGCTGCCCCGTCGGCCCTCCCAGGAGAGAGGGGACCCAAGTCTGCATGGGGCTGGTGCAGCTGGAGGACACGAACGCTCACTCTCTCATCTCTTCCGAATCGTTCTGGAAAGCCTCAGTCATGTGCAGCGATGGGGACTGGAATTTGAATTAGGGGCACCTGGGCACAGGATCCTTTGGGGATGGTGGTCGTGGGGAGATTCATCGAGGGGAGATGGGCAGAAATGGAAGGAGACTCCGAATGATGGGGAGTGAAAGCTGCTCACTGTAGTGAGTGGCAGGCGTGCCTGAGCCTAGGGTGGTAAGGGACCTTAGAATTGACAGCTTAGGTAGGCTGGCCGTGTGGGACAGCGGAGCAGATGAAAAGCTCTGATGGTACCGAATCCAGACATCTGGGGGACTGAAGTTCTTTATGAGTGGCGCTAACTGGTTGGTTTGGGCTTCAGAGTAGGGTCGTAAGTGTAGGCTGATTGCATGTACAAGAGGGGATCGTTGAGGGTTCGGGATTACAGGGTTTACCTTGTGAAAGGAAAAGAGTGGGGAGAGCGAACCATATGGGCATCTTAAAGAGTTTCTCTCAGTGCCGGAATGGGAAAGGGTGCTTGAAACAGAAAATTGGAGTGCGAACTAGTGCAACAGCAGTCGAAAGCTCGGATAGTCGGTGCTTCCGGATAGTGGAGAACTTTGGTATTTGGAAGTGCTCTGGAGGCTGAGAGACTTAATGATTGACGCGTTTTGATTTAAAAATGTACATGGCACTTGAAAATCAGCTCAGAGGGTATAATTTGAATATGGGAAGCGGCTTTTGCATACACTTTGACCTGGACTGTTTCTTAAACACGATTTAAAGTTACCTTGAGGAACAGCTAGATGCAGTTTGGGGGTATGGATTAATTTTCAAGAAAAGGAGTACCAGAAAAGAATTTAAATTGTATATATAGTAGATATTTCCAAGTTTTGGTAGATTTTTACAGAAGCCTTGAACTCATTTTAATGAGTAGTGTTATAGAGAGAGTATCATTTGATTGATGTCCAGCTCAGTGTGAGAGAGAAGCCAAAGGTACTTCCAGCCCTCATTTCTAGAGTGACATTTGAAGAACTATTGAATTTATGTACTGGATTTAAAAAGGTTTTATATGCTAGAAATCATCACTTTGAATATTGATGGTTGAACAATATATACCTTTGCCGTTCATGTGGCTCGTCACTATAGCATGTACAGTCATAGTCTGGCCTCAGTCATGTATTGCAGGAAGAAAGTGACTCATCTTACAGTAAATTAAAGTTGTTAAAATAAGCATTTGTATTTATTACTTCTTGTATTGGTTTTTGGAATTCTCTAGATATAGAGGCTAGACATGATTAAATTAGCTGATTGTCCTTCTTGCCTAACATTTTTTTCTACATCGTTTGAAGGTTGTTTGTATACACCACCTGGATAATTGTAAAAGTTCAGCTGCCTGAGACTGTAGGCCGCCCCAGGTAGACCCATATGCATCCTCAGGGTTTTCATTCAAGGGAAAACATGCTCTGTCGGGAGTAAGTGCTAACTATGAGAGAAACAGCAAATATGCACCAGAATAAAGAATTCTGAGAAACAATCGAGGGCTGACCATGGTGGGCCAGGCCTGTAGTTCTAGTACTCTAAAAGCTGACACCAGAGGATGGTGAGTTCAACACCAGCATGTGCTGCTACACAGCATTATTCTCGTCTTAAAGAGGGGGGGAAAACAGAAAAAAATAGCTCTCAAATGTAAAAATACCCAGAGATGCCAACATGACAGAGGAAATATAACTTGTCATCTCATTAATCTTCTGATTAGATTTTTTTCTAAGTATTTTTATTTTTAAAAGACACAAGTGTTGTGTTGCCGAGGCTAGCCCAGAACTCCTGGCCTCAAGTGTTCTTCCTTCCTCATCTTTGAAAGAAACTGTAAATGCCCCCTGCACCTTGCCTCCGTCCCCCACTCCCACCCCCTTAAAAAACAAGTCTTGCTTCAAAGGCAGTCCTGAGACTCTGGCGGTTACCCGGACTCCTCAGGAAAGAGACAAGAGTCAGGCCATGACTAGATAACTTTCATCGTGATATTCTTATCTAATCTTCCAAGAACACCAGAGATAACTATTTTTCAGATATAGAATAATCCTTAAATTATAATTTGCCCAGGATTGTATGGCTAGTAAGTGGTGGAGTCAGAATTGGAACTCAGGTATGTTTGATTCCTAATTGAGGACTCCTGTAATTACACCAAGCAGTTTGAGACTTTCTGCTGACATTATACTGCAGTTGAGCTGTTCAAATAGCATTTATAAATTGTATTATCGATGCATATATTGCTGAGAATGAATATCATTCTGAGAAAACTCAATTTCTGACACAAAGGGATTGGTTTAATGCCTTGCCCTTTGCTTATATCCATGTAATGAACATAATTATATTACTCAACGAAATGGACTGAAATAGCTTGTTTCTGCTATTGAAGAAGAAAGCCTTTGGTTGTTTGCTGTAATTGTAAGATGCAACATTAAAAAGCATTTTTGTTTTGGCACCGGAAGGCTATTGAACATTTTACCCTTAAAAGTAGTTTTTATAGCTTATGTCTTCGGCTGTAGGAGATTCCAAAGGGTTGTAATGTCTGTTAATGACTGTAATGCAACCTGGTTAAAGTCAACAATATCCTGATGGGGAGATCTATCTCCACTAAAGCAATAGGTGTATTCAAAAATAAGGCATAGTTACTGGCCTCCTGGGAAATTATCTAAATAGGAATTCCTAAAGCTCCCAATATTAGTTTTCTACTTTAGGGTGTATTTTTTTTCCTTAAAGGAAATATTCCTGAAACTTATTGCTATATGTTGTCTTACAACTTGCTTTTTTTCATTTAATATTATAAACCTTTTTCATGTCATATCTGACATGTTCTGACTTATTCTAATAGCCATGTAATATTCCATACTATGCATGTATCCTAAATTATTATGTCAGTAATAGTCAATTTGTTTCCACAACCTCCCCCACTTTTAAGGCTTGTTATTATAAACAATGTTGCAAGAATCTTTATGTGTCTCTGTTTACCGACTAGTGTGATTTTTGACAAGGGGGTTGTCTGGCTCAAAGGAAACATGTTCCTTACTAATGTTTACCCCAAAGGTTAAGGTACGCTGTATTGTCAGAACACAGAACACACAGCGCTACAAGTGCTCAGGTTTACATTTCTGCCGCAGTGAGGCTGTGAGGTGATGTTATTAAATCACTAGTATTTCCTTAATTTTTAGTTAAGCTAAATTTATAAATACAGTAATGTTTCTAGCGCAGACTTATTTTCTAAGCATTAGACTTAGATAACTCAGCTGCATTGACATTTTAATGAAAGGAGGGCTAACAGACTTTTCAAATTCATTATCTCCAGAACAGGTCATATGATCTTTCTGTCCCTGTGTCACCCAAACTCATTTTCTTTCCTTCTCATTTTGACAACAGCCTCATCCCTTAAGATTTCTAAGGCTTCCTGCGACCTTTTCTTTTACTCTGCATCTAATGTATCAGACATGTATCATTTCTGAAGTGAAAAGTATTTGTAGACTGTGCCTGATATCTGTCACTTTGGATTACTGCTATGTTTTCACTCGTCTCTGCTTTTACACTTGGCTTCCCTGGCTCAGTACCACATAAATAAATGAGTCAAATCTTTACTTTTAAAGGCAGGGTCTCATGTGGCCCAGGCCAGCATCAAAGTCATTGTGTAGTCAAATAGAAGATAGCCTTGAACTTCTTATCCTCCCGTTTCCACCAGGAATTGCAGAATGTTCCCCCAAGCCCAAATTTATACAGCACCAGGAATCAAATAATCAAACCTAGGGCTTCCTGTGGTCAAGGCAGGCCACTGAGTGCATCCCTAGCCTGAGATTTGAGTTAAATCTTGTCATGTAGAACAGGAGAAGATATTTGCAAACATACATCTGAAAAGAGGTTAATGTCTAAGATGTTTAGGGGACTAAGCTCAGTAGTAAGAAATAATCAGATTTAAGTGCTCTGAAAAGACACTTCTCAAAAGAAAATTACTAATTCTTATATATGCAAGAGCATTCAGTGTTATTGATTGCCAAGGAAATATGAAATGAGATGCTATCCACATCTGTTAGAAAGGCCATTAATGGAAAGTTGGAAAACAACAAGTGTTGGGAAATTGTGGTGAAAGGAAACCTTTACATTGGTCTTGAAAATGTGAATTAATGTATCAGTATAGAAAATGTGATAGAGGCTCATCAAAGAATGAAAGCAGACATTGCCTCATAATCCAGTCCACTATTGCTTCTAGGTACCTAGAAAATGAAATCAGTATGTCAAAAAGATTACTGCATCATCCTGGCTATTGCAGAACAATTTACAACAGCAGAAACATGCAGTCAACTTTAAGGTCTATGGATGGATGAATAAAAAAAATTGTCACACATACACAATTGAATGCCACTTAGCCATGAAAAGAAAACAGGCCTGGCATTTGCTCCTGAGCACGGAAAGAAATTAGGTTAGGTCGGATAAACCAAGCACAGAATGCAAGCACTGCATGATCTCAAGTATGTGTGGAATCTGAGAAAGTCGAACTCGAGAAGCAGAGGGCGGTTTGGAGGTCACCAGAGACTGGCGTTTGACAGGGAAGAGTTGGGGAGATATTTAGAGAACAGAAATGTTTACTTAAGTCGGAAGAATAAGTTCAGAATTCTGTTTGCAATGTGGTAACTATATCAGTTATTTTTCCTGTTGCTGTGATAGAGGCAACTGAAGGGAAGAGTCCTGTGTTGGCTCACAGTCTGAGACA